GAGGGCCCCCCGTGCCTGCCGGACCCGCGGCAGCGGCAGCCCGGCCAGGCCTGGCGTGATCAGCAGTAGCTTGAAGCTTGGGACGATCTGCTGGCGCTGCAACCGAGCCTTCCCTGCGGGATGACTAGGAACTGCTTCCCGGCTCGACCTCTTCAGTTTGTATGCCATCACACCCTTGCTTTCCTTCCTACCCCCTGGGCTCGGGAGGGAGCACACCCGATCGCTTTGGGCTCAGTCACCAGCACCCAGGGCACAGCTGGACTGCCCCTACAGCTCCCTTTGCCTCGGGGTCAGCCTCTGCTGCTCTGGGACCCGAGTCCGGATGAAGCGCAGCCACTGGAGCGCCGGCTGGCGTCAGACAACGTTGTCCTCAAACACTGTCCCCGTCTCTGCTTGCGAACCCCAGGGCTGTTCCTAAGCTGCGTCAGCGTGGTTCTCAGCCTTGTTGTCCTTTACAGACAGCTCGACCAGCTGCACCCTGCGGGCCTTCCTGGTGGCTAAAGCCCTCTCCTGCCCCAGCACTGTAAGCAGAAACCAAGGCTTCAAGGCCCCACACTTCTCAGCTGCGCCCACCCCCAGCATGAGCTGCCCAAGCTGTGCTGTGGCCTTTTACAGCACCTTTCTCCAGGGCCCGCTCCCCTGAGCATGATAGCAGTAACTCAGAAAGGTGCTTTTCCATCTTCCTTCCAGCCTTGGAAGATCATACCAGGAGGCTCCCTATTGTCTTCACAGGAAGCATTGGGCAGCGCACTCTATGCCCCCGGACATCAGCCCTCTGTGACCTGGAACAGGTGAATGCAGAAGGAGAAATTAGCACAGAGGAAGCAGGGACACTCTGCTGCCATTTGGAGGGACACAGCCAAGGTTGGCAAGGACACTTTGTACCAGACCAGGTAGGACAAATCACAACCCCCTGAATCAGTGCACTTGTTGACTGAAGGACTTGGGTTGTCTGTAGCCCCCTTTGTAGTGCAGTGTTGCAATGCCATACACTACTGCTGTCAAACTCCTCTGGGCTGAACAGGTGACACAGGGCCAGTCTATGGACCGTAGGTGCCCCACGGACCCCTTCTTACCGCCTCTGCTCCATGTGCCAGGACAAACACACATGGCATGTGCCCTGTCCAGGCTGAGACCCATGCTGCATGTGCTACTGGCTCCAGCAACTCTGGGATGCACGCTGCAAATGGCACCTGCCCAGGCTGGTCCTGGATAGGTGTCACCTACAGTACAGGTTTTGAACTGGTTGGAGCAGCTGCCACAGGCAGCATGCATCCAAGACCAGCACCACACACGTGTAGCATGCAATGCAGGTCCCAAACCAGCTGGAATGGGTGCTGTGCATCTCAGGCCCTGCCCATGGGGCAGTGCAGCATGCACCATGTGCAGCACGTAGGTCAACCCTGAGACCTAGAGGAAACACCAGGGGCTAAATGATGGGGCTTCATGGGCCCAGTTCAGCCTACAAGCCCTATCTGTGACATCCCTGGCCTATGCAACGTGGAAGGGTTCTAGTGTTCTCTCTAGTATATCCAAGAGGGGACCTGGGACTTTCTTGTGCCTGTTCGTTGGCCCAAGACTGGCAGCTAGAATAAATTGGCACAGTCTGGGTACAGTGAGGAGCACTTGACTGAAGCTAGACAGGAAGGGAGATAGCACCTTCCTCCAGGGCCACCTAGGCTCAAGATGACCTCTATGCTCTCAACCCAAATCTGTCATAGCCGAACTCTGGTTTCCTTTAGTGAGCTTGTCACAGACTGAGGTCTTAAGACCGACTGCAGGGACGTCTTAAAAGCAGCTTCAGGGGAACACCTTTGAGAGCCTCCCCAGCATGCTTCTGGGATTGGAGCAGGTCTGTGGGCACAGGGGGTGGCGTCAAGGTGAGCCATGGTTTGACCTGGCCTAGCTGGGGAATGATGCCCTTGCTGTGTAGACAAGACTAACCCTCCATTTCTGCTCTGGGAGCCCCTGTGCCCCACCTCAGGCTGGACACTTTGCTAGTTAGAAAAACATGTACAAGTTGGGTGCTGCAGTGCTCATGGGTACAATGCCACTATCCCCTTGTGAATCCAGCCATTTCTAATACTGTAGCTGGGGGTGGAATTACCTTTCCTTCTGCTGCCAAGGGGAGGGCAGGCAGCTCAGGCAGATGGGAAGTAAAACCTTTTTGCCCAGTGACTCAGCTTTACTCTTTTCCCCCCACTCAGCCAGCTCCATCCACAACAGCACTGGGCAGTTCTCAGACAAATGTATTTAGTTCCATGAAATACCAAATCCATCATCATCGTCAATATGTGCTGCTAACCTTCACTGCACGCTCCCAGCCTGTTTGATTCCCCATCCCCTTTGCCCAAGGCACAAGTAACTCATGGTCAGAACACTGCGGTACAGAAGCTAAGGGAACTCAAATGCTTTGGACAGGCAGGGACAGTTTGTGTAGCAGCAACTACAATATTGAAAGCTGTACAAGCATCTTGTGTTTCACACCGTGATCCTGATCCTGCTTTAATATAGTCACTACATTGCCATTCAAGAAGTACACCACCCAAAGGCTAGAGAGACATTTCTGAGACAGGGCCCCCTGATGCTTCCCTCAATGATATCCTTCTACATAACCCAAGGGACCATAGATCTGCTCAGAAGCAAACTGCAAGCGTCAATTCTACCTCTTCTCTGAATAGAAATTCATGGAACCTGCAGAAGTACCTCCTACTGATCCCATTGCTGACTTTCCTTGGGCCTGGAACAACAACTCTCTGCTCTTACCAATGATGCTGCCTCCTCTAGTCCCCACCAACTTGTTCTCATTGAAACCCAACCCACACTGATCCACAATCTTCACACAGGCCACCCATGAGTGAAGCAGACTGCAGGTACTATCCACTCTTCTATAGGGATTCTTTTGTGCCTAGTAAGGTCTTAGTTTGGACAAAGCTTTCCCTGCAGGGTTTCCAGGGTCTCTTGCCTTGTGGATTTTCTGATGCCTAGTAGGTAGTCACTACTGCTGAGGCTTTTCCCACAGCCAGTTTCACAGTTTCTGTCCTCTGGATTACACAATGTGCAACAAGGAAACTGCTTCAAGCATCACCTTCTACATTCAGGGCATGTGTGTAGTTTCTCTGTAGGAATTAGATGATGGGCACTAAGCTAATCCCTCTTTGTAAAGCTTTTTCTCAAGTCAGGGCATACATGTGGTATCTCCCTGAGTGCATCATACGACAAGCACACAGCTTTGATATGTGTCAGAAGCTTCTCCTCCATAATCATTCAGTTGCTCTTCACTGTAGGTTTTTGACAGTCCCATTACAATCCTCCAACCCTCCCCCTGTAAGGGTGATTTCCATGGGCTCCTCTGAGGGACTATTTTCTGCTGCCTCTTCAGCTGCTCCTGACTCTCTTCAGCTTTTTCCTGCTCAGAGACCTGGGAAATGTCCCCTGCAGCTCTTCCCAGTGACGCTCCATCTGCTTCTGCTTGCTCAGGACATAGCTGCTGGGGATTCCTTTCCTCATTCTCACTCACTGTTCCAACGCCGGCTGGGAGAGAAAGACACAAGAGATGGAGAGAGAGAGGGGAGAAACAATGCAGACAAGAGTCACCGCCTGAGCTAGAGGCAAAAGGGCTTTCAGGAAAAGAGTTTCAAAACAACTGCAAGAGACACTGAAAAAAAATCAGGGGCTGGCTCCTTCTCAAACCCTTTGTCTGAAAAGGACAAGAGGATCCATCCTGCCTCCACGTCCCACCAGGCAACTCGGGAGGCGGGGGGAGGAGAGAGGGGGGGAGAATGAGTCACACTTGCAGGCAATCCAAGATTAGCATGTGTCATGAGGATACAGTCCTTACATAGGACAGTCCTGACCTGAGACGCTGAGGGGGCTCCTCTGGGGCCCTGGGGGAGAATCCCACTTGTCTGGGTCAGTGATGGATATATTCTCTGGCCAATCCTCACCTGTGTGAATGTCTCTCGGGGCATCCCTTCCCTCTGAGCCCTCTTGATCTGGGACCCATGGCTCTTCCCCCTGTTCCAGGTGGGAGATCATGTCCGGTTTGGGAACAGGAAATCCAGCTCCAAGGAAAGAAAAGAGGCAAGAGCAGAGTGTTACAAGTGTCAGGGGTCTCAGGGAGAGGAATGTTTCCCCTTCAAAGGAGATTCAGGGAACACCACATGTTGGGCCATTTCTCTCAGGACTTTGGCACACAACATGGCTGTGCAGCTTCTTCCTTCCTTCTAACCCAGCTGAGACTGAGCCCTTCCCTGAGCCAACTCTGGAGAGAGAAAGGGACACAGGAAATATCTGTCCACAGGTCTCCACATTTAAAAACAGCAAGAAATGCACATGCCCAACCTCTACTTTGGATGCTTTGGGATTGGATTAGCACTCCCACATTTCTGCCAACTCTCTTCTCTCACAGGACAGGCTGTGGAGGGGAAGGTCTCCCTATCCAGAGTCCTGGGGACCCCTGAAATCTAAGCAACCAGGAAAGAACCCCTGAGCAACCCCCAACCTGGGTGCACCAGAGGCCCCCTGAGGAGGCAGACATCCTTACCCAGAGAGGCCACTGTCTCATAATTCGCCAGCATGACGTCCCTGTAGAGGGATCTCTGAATGGGATCCAGCAGAGCCCACTGCTGCTTGGTGAAATACACAGCTACATCCTCAAATGTCACCAGCCCCTGAAATAACAAGAGTCTACTTTCAAGGGAAGAACAAGGTGGGGGTGGGGGGGAGGAGCTGGAAAATCCCCTTCCACAGAGATCATGGAACTTCTGCTAGGAAATGAGAGAATTTGATTAAACCTTTTCTTAGCAACAGACACTTGAGTAGGGAGACCCAAATGCACACAGCTGTTGATTAGGCTGATTTTGTCACCCTGCTCAAAATTGTCAGCTGTGGTTTGCAAAACTGTCCCAATGATCTGGGGAGGGGAGGAGCACAATTAAAACAGTTTTAATCAAGATGGCAACACTGCCCTATACTTCTCAGCTGTGGAGTGAGGATTCCCCTAGTAAAAGAGGGCCACAAGCTCCTCTTGCTGTCAATGTTGAAGTTCTGCCTTCCAAACTTGTGCCCTGAGGAGTTGATAGGACTTCTCAAAGATGTGGAAGGAGACAGATGTAGCCTATGCCCCTTGTTCTGCAAGTAACCTGAGGCTCCTGGAAGATATGTCAAGCCTAAGAGGCTTCTGGGAGAACCTGCTTTTTGTTGCTGCCTTGCAAAAAGCAGTTACCTTCAAGTAACTTTTTAAGATTGTGAAACAATATAAGAATAATCTATTCTATCTATCACAGAGACTATCTATCAAATCTAGGATGACAAGCTTCAGACAATAGTATAACATAAATAGCTATATTGCTGAACACTAGAGCTGAAGTCAGCATTACGTATAGACTAATGCAAAGCAGCATATATCTGGACTGACCACAATAGGGAAGGGAGAAAACATATAGAATGAAAGGGAGAAGCATGTGGAAAACAAATGGTTAAGGTCATGTTGCAACTGAAGCTGACAAGCTGACAGCTGAGGAGAGAGGGGCTTTTGAATTCTAAAATAAGAAGTAAAGAAGAGAAGGAAAAACACAAGTTTGGTCAGGTAGTCTGGATAAAGAAAGAAGATACAAAGAGAAGAAATCATTTGAAGTACAGTGGAAACTGAGTGGGATCAAAGGCATCAACCAACCACAGGCAAGGGCAAGAAGCTCCCTTGCCTGCCAACGTATCCTGGGCAGCAACACTGCCGAGCAATATATCAAATGTATCTTATCATTTTGCTTTGTTTTGTTTAATCTGTCAACAAATCCATGTATCCTGTATGACTCCAGTGATCTGAGGTCTCATTTACTGTAGCTCCCCAGCTGCCTCAAATCCACCTGCGGTTCAGGTATAACAGGGAAACAGAGGATGGCGGGGGACAGGAGCAGGGTGCATGGCAATGTGAGGAGTTAGAGACAAAGAGAAGGGGTCTCCCTCTCATCTGTAGTAGAACAGCCTCAGATTGTATGAAGGTGAGTGGATGCACACGTTCACCCTCTCTCTCGTGGCCACGTCCTACCTCGGAACACACCAGGGACATATCTAGATGAGTGTGCACATGTGGTATGCATGACTGTAAACATACCTGCAGGACTGCACACTGAACATGCCACACATGCAGGCATTATCCATGTTGCTAATTTGCAGCACAGGGGGAAGGGGAAGGGAAAGGTCTGACGCTGGGAGATCCCAGTGTAAAAAAACCCCATGCCTAAAAAAAGCAGGATGGCACACCTGCACCACCCAAAACCAGAGCCTGGCCAGCCAAAACCACACTCTGGTTGCTGGCCAAGCTCCCTGCTGCTGGATTGCCATGGCTGCAGCTTCCGGATACTGGCCCCAGCCTCTCTTACCCCACCCAGGGCAACATGCCCTACGCCAGAGCACACAGGCATGGGTGTTCCTTGGGGACAAGGAGCAGCAGCACATATTGTGCTGCTGCTGCTGTTTGGCCCTGGGGAAATGCATGTATCTGCTCATGGGGACATACCTCAGGAGGTCAAAGACTCCCTAAACTCACAGCCCAACTGAAGGGAGATACCAGTCAACCACAGTGGCCTCTGGGTGCCTGAAATGGGCTAACTGGATGGGATACATTCCAACAGTTCAGCAAATGTTCTGGCCAAAGGGAAGCCACAAAAGCCTGATTCATGGGAAAACCAAGGACAAACTATGCCTATTTAGGGTTGCAAGGAGAAGAATCTCTTCGCAGGTCCCCTCCCTGCCTTCATTTGTGCATGTTCTCAGAAATACTTAGAAGTGTACTCCACAGGAAGCCAGTCTGATCTCAGTTCCTTACTCAACCACCAGCACAAACTGAAGGTGAAGGGGATTGGACAGCAAATTAAGCAAGAACAAAGCTATGTGCCAGTTTATTTCACCCTGAGGGTCACAGACAAATGCTGGTTGGCATCACCTGAGATATTTTCCACATGCAGCCAGTCGCCAACCTGTTTCTTAGCTGATGGGTAACTAAATCTATCTCTATGCAAATTGGTGTCTGGTACGAGCTGTGCCCCCTGGTCCCTCCACACTGGTTTGAGGCATGTAATTTGGTTCTCACGGCAGAAGGGCTTCCACTCCCCAGTCTCCTTTGTTCCTGTACTGATGCCACCCCTCAGTCACCCAGAGCAAGCCCCCACCAGGAAACTGCCTGACAATCCTTCACCTGGACCACAGCAGTCACTTCCTTTTCCTGTCTCTTGGAAATACGGGATGATCTGGAGCCAACTATGGATGTAACTCTGGAGCCTGTCATTGGAGAGAGAAAACAAGGGGAGAATTCAGAAGAGGCTTCAGTCCCTGCTACAACCCAAATCCTCCCAGGCTTCATTCATTTCTGGAAAAAGCCCTGAGAGCAAAACTGGCCAGAAAGAGACCCTGGTCCTCCACACGGGTGGGTCTTGGGGTCTGAAGCAAATGCATCTCAGTGACTCACATCTTTCAATTGTATGTTCCCTTTTCCACATGATCCCTGCCAACCACTGACTCCTGACACCCAAACCATCCACCCCACCTGCTGCCTGAACTCACACCATTTCCCACTGATGCACATTCATGTCTTGCAGCAGCATAGCACAGGCCCATCAGCCCAATACGAGAGCTCCTTCCACTTTCTACCCTTGAGGCAGAGCTGGGAGGGGGGAAGGGAGGGGCGAGGGAGGCACTCATCCTTTCACTCTTCCTAGCAACACCACACTAGAAGGGCCTCATCTGTGTGGGTGCTCCGAGACTGAATAAAGGAACACATCTGAGCAAAGCTGTCCCCACGTTCAAGACACAATGACAGTTTCTCACCTGTATGGATGTTCTGATGTTGAATAAGTTTCTCCTTGTGCATGAAGCTCCTCCCCCAGTCAGGGCACGTGTATGGTTTGTCTCCTGTGCCAATGTTCTGATACCGAGTAAGACTGGGCCCCGACTTGTAGGTTTTCTCCAAGACAGGACACACACACGGCCTCTCTGCCGTGCAGAGCCGCTGATGATGAATAAGAGAACATCTCAGACGGAAACTCTTCCCACAGTCAGCGCACACGAAGGGTTTCTCTCCCGTGTGGATGCTGTGGTGTTCAAAAAGGTTTCTCTTCCGTCTAAAGCTTTTGCCACAGTCAGGGCAGGCATAGGGTTTCTCTCCTGTATGGATGCTCTGATGTTCAATAAGGTTACTCCTCCGCCTGAAACTTTTCTCACAGTCAGGGCACATGTAGAATTTCTGTCCCGAGGGGATGCCCTGAGGGGTCAAGTGGATTGAGCTAGCATCAGTGCTATTTGGATGTGCAGAAGGCTTTGAGCTGCCTTGGAATATTCTGGCACATTCAACACATTCCCAGGGTTTCTCTTCACTGCAGATTCTGGAGTGGATTGTGGCTCCATTCCCGTGCCCAAACCCTTGTTCTCCAGGACCGGATTCAATTGGTCTTCCCTGGGGGAGCTTTCCCTGCTGCCCACCTAGTCTGCATGGACTCTTATGGGCTTTTCTCTGCTTGGGACACTGGTGAACATTGCCTTCTGCTCTTCCTAGGGCTGTCCCAGGGAGTTCTGCATGCCCCCAACAGCACAGCTGGGGATTCTCAGCCTTGTTTTCCTTCACAGTCTCATTGCCTAATGTAAGAGAAAGACAGCAGACATGAGGTCATTCCTTGGGCTGAAAGACATGGGAAACTGTGAAAAAGAGGCAAAAATCTAACAGTCAGAAAGACCAAAGATGCAGAGCTGAATCCCTCTGGAGCCCTAATCAGGAGGGAGAGGGGACTCTATGTCCTATCTCCAAACCTGCAGTAGGAGGGACCCTCAGAGAGTATTAGATTGGGAAAAGTCCTTGAGTGATACCTGTCATGGGGATAACAGCATTTAGTCAGTCAATTGAGACCTAAGTTAGATGAGGCAGAAACACAGATGGGGCCTGTAGGGCCCTGATGGGAATCCCAGGTATTTGTGCCAGTCATGGATGCCATCAGTGCCCATTTATCTGATTCTCCATCTGAAGACCTGATGATCTGGAACCCATGGACCTCCTCCCCATTCAGACAGGAGATCACACAGGATATAGGAACTAGGAATCCAGCTCCAGCAGAAGCAACAAGGCAAGACCAGCATTTCACAGCACTAGTGACACAGAGTGGGTTCCAGATAAGGTGGGTGGGCTGGTCTCTCTGGATTATTCAAGGACACGGGGAAGGTCCCTGGAAACACTTTTGAACATTGAATGACCCACAGGAGATGCACGATTCCCTCTACAGGAAACCCGAGTATCTCCACACACTGAGGAATTCCTTTCACAGTTCAGCTGTGTAGCCTCTCACCTCCTCCTAATCATGCTGGGACCTCATCCTTTCCAGGCAAGGGACCAGTCTTGGGGGAGGTTAGGAGGGACATACAACATCTGTGTGTGCAAATATGCAGCTAAGGTAACGAACACCCAACAAGGCACATACCCCAACCTCTCCCTGGGAAGTTTTAGAGATGATGGATTTCCATCTCCATTTGATACCAGAATCTCTTCTCTCATAGCATGGCCAGTGGAAGGAACAGTCTGCCTATTCCAGGGCTCTTATAGATTATGCAGCCGATTCCCCTGAAATCTAGGCAGCCATGGAAGAACCCTACCCAAAAACCAACCTATCTGCTTCAGGGACCCCACAGCTTCTAAATCCTGAGGAGAAAGGAATCCTTACCTAGAGACACCAGAGTCTCATTATTTTCCAGCATAACATCCCTGCACAAGACTCTCTGACTGGAGTCCAACAGAGCTTGTTTCCCCTCAGGGAGACACACAGCCACTTCTTCCAAGGTCACCGGCCCCTGAAACAAGAAGTTTCCACATCTCAAGCATCTATTGCTGAGACATGATCCCATATGCCCCAGACCACGAAGGGTGAAAAACCCCTTCTTCAAATTCCAGGGAGCTTCCACATGGGAATGAAGGAATTTGAGGAAAGGGGTTTGTGGCAAGACCAGAATGCATGCATTTTTATCACCCTTCTTACAACTATTAGCTGTACTTTGGAAAACTCTGCCATGAACTTACCACTCTGGGCACAGGAATTATCACCCACTTGCTCTTGGTCAATATGGTCACTGTGAGCAAATCGTTCAAGGTGAATGTGGGGGTTGGGGGGATTATTCATGATGCCCACAATGCATTAGGTTTGTCTCTCCTGGGAGTGAGGATGCCATAAGCACCATCTCTCTCTACAGGCAATTTCCTGCTTTGGACAAACAGCAGGGAGTAAACTGCCCCCTGAATTTAATGCCTGATTGAAGGGAAAAACCAAAATCAACTCCAAATTACTTTAGTAGGCCCCTGAAACAAGCCAACTGCATGGGACCCATTCCAACGTTTCAGAGAATGTTCTGATTAATGGGAAGCTAGAAAAATCTGATGTAGAGAAAAATCAGGCTGGCATGGTATCCAAGTGGGCTGCAGGTACAGGAATCTTTCTGGGGGTCCCCTCTCTGCCTGTGCTTAATCACAGAATCATAGAAAAGTATGGCTGGAAGGGATGTCAGGAGACTCTAGTCCAACTCTCTGTTCAAGGAATGACCATCCCTATCATAACCATGCCATACAAGTTCTTGTCTAACATATTGCTAAAAATATACAAACAACTCTGTTGTACAACTACAAGGTACACTGCCCCAAAACAGCAAGAACTATGGAACTTTTGCCTTCCTCTGTAGTGGGGGCAGGGGTGAGGGAGCGATCTACAGTGTAGATCTCCTCAGTATTGAGCAAGGATGGGAGTGGCATGTCCTCACCTCTTCAGCACCATGAGGTTGAGGGGAGGAACTATTGGAGATGCCTGCAAATCTATACCCCTGCATGCAGCTGCTCTGATCCCAGTTCCTCATTCAACCACATATGCACCCAGGATGTGGGCGAAATGGACATTATTCAAGAACAAAACTATGTACCAACTATTTCCACAGTTGGGTACAGACACGTGCCAGATGGCATCACCCAAGATGTAGCCAGTCACAGTCTAGTAATGACTAAATAAATAAATCTCTATTTCTATAACAATATTAATTGGTGTTTGGCAGCCAGCTGCACCTCATGGGTTCTCCACACTGCCTTTGTAGTGCATCTTTTGCTCCTCATGGCAGAAGGGCTTCCATTTCGTTGTCTCTTTTGGTCCTTTACTGACTGGCCCTACCCTCACCAAACAGCCCTCCACTCTTCCCTGCGAAACTGCCTGACAATCCCTCACCTGCTCTGGTGCCACTGCAGCCAGTTTGCTTCCCTGTTCCTTGGGACTATGTGGTGATCTGGAGCATAGCGTGGAGATTGTTCTGGAGCCTGTTGTCGGAGACAGAAAGCAGCAAGGGGAGAAATCAATAGGGGCTTCAGTCCCTGCTAGAGGGCAAATACTCATGGGTTTCATTCCTTGCTGGATAAAGCTTTATGTATGCAATTAGCGAGAAAAAAAACCTTGTCCTCCATGCTGGGGGTGGGGTCTGTGGGACCAAGGAAGATGCACCTCAGCCACTTACATCTTCTCTCTGCGTCTTCCCTTTCCCACTTGATCCCTGCCAACCAGCCACCCCCATAACTCAAGCCATCCACCCCACCTACTGTCCAGAACTGCACCACCCCCCACTTGCAGCAGAGCAACCCAAGCCCTTGGCCCTGCAGTGTGAGTTCCTGCAGCCTTTAGCCAGGTAGTAGGATCTGGGGAGAGCTGAGGGAGACCTTCACCCTGCTGGTTTTTCCCACACACAGAAGGGTGCTTGAAGGCTGAATAAGGGAACTCATCCAACCAAAGCTGTCCCCACAGTCAAGGAACAATTTGGGTTTCTCACCTGCGTGGATGCTCTGATGTTGAGTAAGTCTCTTCTTGTGAATGAAGCTCCTCCCACAGTCGGGGCACACATAGGGTTTCTCTCTTGTGTCAATGCTCTGTGGAGCAGGACTGGGCTGCTGTGGGTCAGTCTTCTCAGAGCCAGGGCACGCAGAGGGACTCTCTCCTGGGCGGAGCCTTTGATGATGAATAAGAGAACACCGCAGACGGAAACTCCTCCCACAGTCAGGGCACGCAAAGGGTTTCTCTCCTGTGTGGATGCTGTGATGCTGAATAAGGTTTCTCTTCCGTCTGAAACTTTTGCTGCAATCAGGGCAGGCATAGGGTTTCTCTCCTGTGTGGATACTCTGATGTTCAATAAGGTTACCCCTCCGTCTGAACCGCCTCCCGCAGTCGGGGCACACATGGGGTTTCTCCTCTGTGCTGATGCTCTGATGCAGAGTAAGACTGGGCTGCGACTTGTTGGCTTTCTCAGACACAGGGCAGGCATAAGGACTTTCTCCTGGACGAAGCCTTTGATGATGAATAAGGGAACATTTCAGGCGGAAACTCTTCCCACAGTCAGGGCACACGTAGGGTTTCTCCCCTGTGTGAATGGTGTGGTGTTGAAAAAGGCTACTCCTCCGTTGGAAACTTTTCCCACAGTCAGGGCACATGTGGCCTTTTTCTTTTGCGTGGATGCTCTGAGGGGTCAAAAGAGTCAAGCTAGAGCTGACATCATTCTGATGCGCAGAAGGCTTGGAGCTGCCTTGGAATAGCCTGGCACATTCAACACATTCCCAGGGTTTCTCTTTACTGCAGATTCTGGAGTGGACTGTGACTCTGTTCCCATGCCTGAAGTCTTGCCCTCTTGTACTCGAGTCAACCTCTGTCCCATTCAGGAGCTTTCCCTGCCACTCCCTTGGCCTGCACTGACTCTCAAGAGCTTCTTCCTGCTTAGGACCCTGGGGAACATCGCCTTCAGCTCCTCCCATGACTATCTCATGGAGTTTCCCCTGCTCCAGTCCAGGATGCTGGGGATTCTCCACCTTATTTGCCCTCATGGTGCCATCACCTGCTGAGAAACAGGGAAGGGAGGAGAGAGAGGAGGCAGACATGAGGCCTTTCAGGGGCTGGAGGGAGAGAGGAAATGTGAAAGGAAGACAAGAAACTCAACTGCCAGAATTGCCAAGTGATTCCCTCCGGAGCTCATCAGAGGAGGATGAGGAGGGGGAGGAGACCCTCTGTCCTGCCTCCAAACCCAAGACAGGAGGGACCCTCAGCTGGTGGGCAAGCAGCACTTAGCTGATCAATTGAGACCTGGGTAGGATGAGGCAGAACCAAGTGAGGGCTCTGTGACTGCATTAGATGGTGTCTATGGCCACATATTGAACTCTTCACCCACATGCATCTCTCTCAGGATCACCCTTCCCTCGGAGCCCTGATGATCCGATACCCACAGATCTTCCCCCACCCCATTCCAGCTGGAGATCACAGGGGATCTGGGAACTGCAAATCCAGCTCCAGCAGAAGGAATGAGGCAAGAGCATGATTTCAGTGCTAATGACACAGAGTAGGGTCCAGTGATGCTGGGCAGATGTGTGCCCCTGACTAAACCAGATGGGAAAGGATCCTGGAAGCCCTGTTGGGGATGAGATGGTTTCTAGGAGACGTCTAGTTCTCCTTACAGGAGATCTGGGGAACTCCACACACACTGGGGCATTTTTTCAGGGCTCTGGCACAGCCCTCCTGGGCAGTCTCTTACCCCCTCCCAACCCAGCTGAGACCTCAGCCCCTGCAAGCACAGTGCCAGCCCTGGGGACAGCAGGAGGGACAAGACATCCATGCATAAAAATGTGCAGGTAAGTGAAAAACGCCCAGCGGGGCACACAACCCAACCTCTCCCTGGGAAACTCCAGGTTGGGGATGGATTCAGAGCTCCACTCCCTCCCAAAATCTTATCACCCAGGGCAAGGATGGTGGAAGGAGCAGTCTCTCACCCAGAGTTTCTACAGATTGTATGGCCAATTTCCCTGTTATCTAGAGGGACCAGCTTGTCGGCTTTGGAGACCCCACGGCTTCTAGCGCCTGCGGGGACGGGCACCCTTACCTAGGGAGAGCAAAGTCTCCTCGTTCTGCAGCATGACGTCCCTGCCGAGGGCTCGGACTGGAGTCCAGGGGATCTTGGCAACGTCCTCGCGGAAACACGCAGCCGCTTCCTTCCAAGTCCCCAGCCTCTGAAACAACAGGAGTCCTCATCTTGGGCACCAGCTGCCAAGACACCATCCCACCAGTCCCAAAACAAGAAGGGATGAGCAATTCCCTCTCTCAAGACCCTGCGCTAGGGAATGGGGGGATTTCAGGGAAGCTTTCCTTGACACCAGACACACAATGTGGGGGGAGCCCCGAATGCAAGCAGCCTCCTCCCAGTCACCAGCTGTGATTTGGGAAGTTCCCTACAAACCCGCACTCAGCCACAGCAAGCGCCGCCGGGCACCTCCCCGCAGCGAG